CGGGCCTCGGGGCCGTCAGGAGGAGGACGACTCGGGGTAGAAAATCCGGCCCAGGGGAAGGGGTCGAGAGGTCGGGGGCCGTGCCTCGACAGAGTCGAGACGCCAGACGTCTGGGTCGCTCCCACCCCTCCCTCTTCGGTGGCGACTCATGGGAGCCTCCCATACCCTCTTGTCGGCTCTTGCGAATGGGCGCTAATCGGCGCAGAATCGACGCCGATCGACGCTAAGTCGACGCTGATCGACGCCAAATCGGCGCTACCTCGCTGACTCCCAGGCGCTAATCGACGCTACGCGACGCCAAAGACGGAATCAAAGTCGGGACGCCGGATGTCTGGGTCGCTCCCTTCCCCCCACGCCCCTCCCCCACCTGCCTGCCGAGGAGGAGGAGGAGGAGAAGGAGGAGAAGGAGGAGGAGGAGGAGGAGGAGAAGAAGGTGGAGGTGAAGGAGGAGAAAGACGAGGAGAAGGAATAGGAGGAGGAGGAGGAGGAGGAGGAGGAGGAGGAGGAGGAGGAGGAGGAGGAGGTGCAGGTGCAGGTGCAGGTGCAGGTGCAGGTGTAGGTGCAGGTGCAGGTGCAGGTGTTGGTGTAGGTGTACGTGTAGGTGTAGGTGTAGGTGTAGGTGCAGGTGCAGGTGTAGGTGCAGGTGTAGGTGCAGGTGCAGGTGCAGGTGCAGGTGCAGGTGCAGGTGCAGGTGCAGGTGCAGGTGTAGGTGCAGGTGCAGGTGCAGGTGCAGGTGCAGGTGCAGGTGCAGGTGCAGGTGCAGGTGCAGGTGCAGGTGCAGGTGCAGGTGCAGGTGCAGGTGCAGGTGCAGGTGCAGGTGTAGGTGTAGGTGTAGGTGTAGGTGTAGGTGTAGGTGTAGGTGTAGGTGTAGGTGTAGGTGTAGGTGTAGGTGCAGGTGCAGGTGCAGGTGCAGGTAGGTGCAGGTGCAGGTGTGCAGGTGCAGGTGCAGGTGCAGGTGTAGGTGCAGGTGTAGTGTAGGTGTAGGTGTAGGTGTAGGTGTAGGTGTAGGTGTATGGTGTAGGTGTAGGTGTAGGTGTAGGTGCAGGTGCAGGTGCAGGTGTAGGTGTAGGTGTAGGTGTAGGTGTAGGTGTAGGTGTAGGTGTAGGTGTAGGTGTAGGTGTGATTAGGTGAACGAGGAGGAGGAGGAGGAGGAGGAGGAGGAGGAGGAGGAGGAGGAGAAGGAGGAGGAGAAGGAGGAGGAGGAGGAGGGGGGGAGGGGGAGGGGGAGGGGGAAGGGGGAGGGGCAAGCTAGGTGCGCTCGCGTCATATCTGACGTCTACCCCTCCCTCCCATCCCTTACCATGGCGCTGATTTTCTCTATCCGCGGACGCGTGTCGTAGCGGACCTGTGGCTCCGCGCGCGCGTGCGTAGTGGGTGGTGTGTGCGCGTGCGTGCGTGCGTGCGTGTGTGCGTTGTTTGTGGTGGTGTGGTGGTGGTGGTGGTGGTGGTGGTGGTGGCTGTGTGTGGTGGTGGTGTGCTGGTGGTGGTGGTGGTGGTGATGGTGGTGGTGGTGGTGATGGTGGTGGTGGTGGTGGTGGTGCGGCGCGGTGGTGGCGGGCGGATGGGCGCGCGAGAAAGAGGCCCGCGCTGGGGCGAGAACGCCATCCTGAACGACGGTGGCCAAACACCGATCCGATAATGAGGCCCACGCTGCAGCGGGAGCACGATTCGGAACGATTCGGGAGCAGAAATGAGGCCGGCGCCTCAGCGAGAGTAGCATTTTGAAAAAAAAAAAAAAAAAAAAAAAAAAAGCAAGCGAAAACCCAACTCCCGGGAATCCTGTGTAAAAAAACAGTACGCGGGGGGGGGGTCGGCTACTTTCAGGCCGCCATCGGGGGAAGAGGGAGAGTAGTATTCATATTGAGTAATTGTGAAGGGGACCCCCCCCAAAGTGACCGATGGTCCATGAGCCCCTTGCCCCCGCCGCCCTCCGTATTCCCAGGGGAGCAGACGGCATCGAACCGGGACACCGGATCGAACTGGAGCGTGCGTCGAATCGGAGCGCATCGGCTCGGAGTCAGAATCGAATCGGATCGGCCACGCCAACACGCACAACTGGAAGGGAAGAACACGGGGACCACGACCAAGACTGAACGCGGAAACGTCGTTTCGATCTTGGTCGCCGTCGACCTTGGTCAGCGTCGACTCGTGGCTCCGCATCGCGAATCGGCGACGGCCGACATGGACCACGACCAAGATCGGAGCCGACAACATCGCGAGGCATATTGGACATGGTCCCCGTGCTTCTCCCCTCGAGAACCCGGATCGGCAAAGCCAGCGCGCAGAACCGCGCCATGCAAGAGCTGGGCGGTATCGGATCCTCAGGAGATCGAGGTCGAAACGGATCGAGCCGGTGGCAGGTGCAGGTGCAGGTGCAGGTGCAGGTGCAGGTGCAGGTGCAGGTGCAGGTGCAGGTGCAGCTGCAGGTGCAGGTGCAGGTTTGGGTGTAGGTGTAGGTGTAGGTGTAGGTGTAGGTGTAGGTGTGTAGGTGTGTAGGTGTGTAGGTGTGTAGGTGTGTAGGTGTGTAGGTGTGTAGGTGTGTAGGTGTGTAGGTGTGTAGGTGTGAAGGTGTGCAGGTGTGTAGGTGTGTAGGTGTGTAGGTGTGTAGGTGTGTAGGTGTGTAGGTGTGTAGGTGTGTAGGTGTGTAGGTGTGTAGGTGTGTAGGTGTAGGTGTAGGTGTAGGTGTGTAGGTGTAGGTGTAGGTGTAGGTGTAGGTGTAGGTGTAGGTGTAGGTGTAGGTGTAGGGTAGGTGTAGGTGCAGGTGCAGGTGTACGGTGTAGGTGTAGGTGTAGGTGTAGGTGTAGGGTAGGTAGGTGTAGGTGTAGTGAGGTGTGAGGGCGAGGAGGAGAGGAGGAGGAGAGGAGGAGGAGAGGAGGAGGAGGAGGAGGAGAAGGAGGAGGAGGAGGAGGAGGAGGAGGAGGAGGGGGGGAGGGGGAGGGGGAGGGGGAGGGGGAGGGGGATGGGGACCCCCCCCAAAGTGACCGATGGTCCGTGAGCCCCTTGCCCCCGCCGCCCTCCGTAATCCCAGGGGAGCAGACGGCATCGAAACGGGACACCGGATCGAACTGGAGCGTGCGTCGAATCGGAGCGCATCGGCTCGGAGTCGGAATCGAATCGGATCGGCCACGCCAACACGCACAACTGGAAGGGAAGAACACGGGGACCACGACCAAGACTGAACGCTGAAACGTCGTTTCGATCTTGGTCGCCGTCGACCTTGGTCAGCGTCGACTCGTGGATCCGCATCGCGAATCGGCAACGGCCAACATGGACCACGACCAAGATCGGCGCCGACAACATCGCGCGGCATCTTGGACATGGTCCCCGTGCTTCTCCCCTCGAGAACCCGGATCGGCAAAGCCAGCGCGCAGAACCGCGCCATGTAAGAGCTGGGCGGTATCGGATCCTCAGGAGATCGAGGTCGAAACGGATCGAGCCGGCCGAAGCCGATCTCGAACCGGACCGAGCGGATCGAAGTGGGCCCTGAACTCCTGGGCCGCTGGAGCCTCCTGGCCCCTCTCCCCTGCCCGGTCACGGCTGCCAGGGCGGCTACATATAACGGGGCGACCACCTCGGGCCCTCCTCAGGTCGTCCTCGTCCTCCTCGTCGTCCACTACTCCTCCTCCTGCCCCTAGTCGTCCACTCCTCGTCCTCCACTTTCCTCCTGCCCCTCCTCTCCGAACTCCCCCTTACCCCCCTCTCCCTCTGTGGGCACCCGACACTGTTACAGAAAAAATGGGCACGATGGCCAACAAAAAAATGTTGTCCGAAACTGACAGCGGCCGCTGTTGGACAGGCGGCCTTCTGTCTCAAATGGACAGGCGTCCGCGGCGACACCGACAGCGAGTCCTGCTCAAACTGAACAGGGAATGCTGTCGTCCTTGCAGCCACTCTTTCCGTACCCGTTTCGACCGTCCCGACCATCCGATCCCCCCTTCCCCCCCACTCGGGGGCGAGGACGGGAGCGAACAGCCCAGGGGATAGCAATACGTGAGTCCAGGGGCGCCGATTGTCCCTGCCTTCGACGAGGCTCCCAGGCGAATACGTGTAATGCCCGCACCTGAGCTCTTCGCCCCGACACTTTCGTTCCGATACCGCTCATTCCCAGACCCCCGACACCATGATTGTTTCATAACGCCGACCCCCAGAAGTCTCGACCCATTCCCCAGGACCGGCTTTTCATCCCGAGTTGCTCTTCGGCGGCCCCGAGGCCCAACGAGGGCTCCCAGAGGCCGAAAAGGGCAACAAACCAAAAAACGCCATGACTGTGTACATGACCCGAGGGAGTCTGGGCTTCCCCGCCCCCAGGCCGGCGGGAAAAGGGCACCCCCCCCAGGCGCCCCGCGCCAGGGAGGGGCGCAACAGCGCGCGAGATTCTGCACGATCCGGTACGCAAGCCCGGGTCCGCGCGCCCCTGGCCCTGCAGGATCCTGCAAAGTCTGGCGCTCTGACGGACCCCCGATTGCACCGACCCCCCGCCTCTCGAGCCCCGACCTCCTTCGCCCCCACCCCCCCCTCAGTCTGGAGCTAGGAAAGGGGTGTGGCACAAAGGGGTGCGGTGCCAATCGTGGAAATGGAGATGCTATCCACAGTGGGCAACACTGCCAGAGACAGCATTGGCACCACACCCCTTTCTGCCACACCCAATTCCGACCTCCAGACTCTGTGGAGTCACGAAACCTTGCGGTGACAGACCGTGCGGTGACCTCGAAATCCCTCGAGACCTCACCGCACGGTCCGTCAACGCACGGCTTTGGGACCCTGGAGGCCCCTGTCGCCCGAGACGTCCTCGGAGAGGCACTCGAGCCCCAAAACCGTGCGGTGACCCCGAATCCCCACCGACCCACCGCACGGTGTGGTCACCACACCGTTCGGGGGCCCCCGACGGGTGGAAAAAGGGCACCCCCGCCCGGCGCCCCGCGCCGGGCAGGGGCACCACAGCGCGCGAGCCCCGGGCTCGCAGCAGGCGCGGGCGGGCGCGCGCCCGCGCGCGCGCCGCGCTACGCCGCGGCCAGCCGTGGCCTGCTGCTCGCGCGCCTGGGCCCGCGCGCGGGTCGGCCCGGGCGGGCGCAGGACGAGGCCAGACACAGAGCAGGGATCGGCCCAGAAACATGTCCCCAGGAGGAGGAGGAGGAGGAGGAGGAGGAGGAGGAGGAGGAGGAGGAGGACAAGACAAGACAAGAACCGTTGCGAGCCATAGTCTGTGCCAGCTGAAGAGGAGGAGGAGGAGGAGGAGGAGGAGGAGCAGGGGGAGGAGGAGGAGCAGGGGGAGGAGGAGGAGCAGGAGGAGGAGCAGGAGGAGGAGGAGGAGATCTAACCCCTGTATGGCTTTTTCGCTGTCGCTTTGTCTTCCTTTTCCCACGAAGGACGGAGCGAGGAGGGAGGCGGGAGGCGGGAGGCGGGAGGCGGGAGGGAGGCGGCCTCGACCACGAGTAGGGACGGGAGCGCGCACAGGGCGCGGAGGTGGGGCGGCCAGCTGGTTGGAGCAGGGGTCGCCCAAAAAACAAGGCCTTTCGCTCTCGTCTTGGGTCGGGCGTGTCCTCCCACAGCGGAGTTCGGGCGAAATTCTAGAAAATCTAAATGTATCCAAAAACAACCAAAAAATAGTCAAAACGTCGTCCCCTGACTATTGTGACTATTTTTGAACACTCCTCCTGCACAGGGACAGGCCCGACTGAACTCTCGACGTGTTTTCGTTGGCCCTCGCTTTGTCTTCAGCCTGCCTTTGCCGCGAAGCGAGATCAGAACGGAAACGGCCGACGAGATCGCCCAGACACCGTTTCGCTCGAGCCCTGCCTCCCCCGGACCCTGAAATCCTGGCGACCCGATTCTGCCGAGCCGAATCCGGACCCTGAGATCCTGGCGACTCAAACGTTTTCGAGCCTGGCGTGTTCGCTCCGGTTTGGGGCCCCGGGACCCTCACAGGTCGATGCGGCTCGAAAAATACAGCAGAAAGATGGGGTCTAGGGCTCCAGTCGTGATTTCTCACGATGGATCCATTTTTTCGCGACGCCAAATCTATAGGGAAAACGAGCCTCTCGCAAGCCACCCTCCTCCCCCATCCTTGCGCCATCCCCTCTCGTTCCTGCCCCGTCCCTCGTCACCGCCCCCTCCCCCTCCTTCCTCCACAAACCGACCTCGATCTGATGCCTCGGTCTGGTCGTTCCCCGAGAAAGAGCCTCTCGCAAGCCACCCTCCTCCCCCATCCTTGCGCCATCCCCTCTCGTTCCTGCCACGTCCCTCGTCAACATCTCCCCCTCCCCCACCTCCGCCTCCTTCCTCCGGCTCGCATCGCCGCCTCTCCCCGCGGAAACGGGGTGGGGCTAGCCCGGGGAGGGGGCGGGGACAGGGGGGAGAGGGAGGGAGGACGGAGGAGGGGGGACGACAGCGATGACGACGAACGGGAGGGAGGATGGGAGACGGGAAGAGGAGGAACTGGAAGGAGCAGGCATGAGAGGATTGAGATGAGGAGAGGTGGGAAGGGGAAAGGAAGAAGACGACACTGAGGACGACGACGAGAAGTGGAGGGGATGAAGAGAGGGAGTAGAAGTGAGGAGGACAAGGAGGGCAGGACACAGGAGGGAAGGGGGAGGGAGAAGCCGAGGAGGCGGGATCATAAGCGAGGAATAACCAGAAGGAGTAAGTAACAAGGGGAGCTGGAACGCAGCGGGAGGAGTGCAACCAGCGGGAGAAGGAGCAGATGGAGGATGAGGAGCAGATGGAGGACGAGGAGGAGGAGGAGGAGGAGGAGGAGGAGGAGGAGGAGGAGGAGGGGAGGGGGGAGGAGAGCCCAAGTGCTCGAGAGGAGAGAGGGGTAAGGCTGGGAGGGCGGAAGGGGGAGGGGGAGGAGGAGGGAAGAAGGGGGGTCGGGGAGGGTATGGGGGGAAGGGCCCTCCCTCCCGCGCGCCTCCCGGGCGCCAGGGACGCACTCCGGTCGTGCGGCTCGCCGTGCGGCACGGGCGAGGCGTTGCCGCTGCTGACCTGGGCCCCCTCCCTCGCCTCCTGCCTGCTCGCCCGCCCCCTCTCCTCCTTCACCCCAGCCCTCCTCTGTTCGGGCGTCTTCTCAAGATGGAGGGGGGGGCGACTCCTCTCGGGAGCGGCGCCCAAGGGCCCGTTGGCGCGCGAGATTTCCAGACTCCTGGGCAGCAGAGAGCCGTGAATGCCTTCCAGAATTCTGATCGACTCCGTGAGCTTGTTTCTCGTGGAGTAGTGAGGGAAGATATCCTAGACAGCATGCGCAATAAGATCAATGCATATAGTCATCCAGCGCTCCCTGCCACTCCAGTGATGGTGATGCCACCGCCCCCGCCTGCTGCTGTGGGAGGGGGAAGGTCTCGTGGTCGGGGCGGCAGGGGCCGTGGTTCGCGGGGTCGTGGAGCGGGAGGGGGGAGCCTCGAACCGCACGCCAGAGCGCCAGCCCCCTGAGTGCGGTCGCGTGCCGCCTGGGGTTGCTGGCCGTGGCCAGTGCTGCCGTGAGCAGAGAGCGGCAGCCAGCCATCCATATCATCGCAATGGCGGAGGCCCGTAGGCCTCTCCTCTGAAGCCTCTCTGCAGCAGTGTCGTGCTCTCTTTGCGATCTCGTGTTGCAGTCCGAGTTTCTGCTATGGGATCCAGGCTTTCATGAGCTCCAATGTCGAACCCCGCCACTGCCATTGCCAATAAGAAATGTGAATCGAAACTATAACTGCAACTGTCGGCCATCGCATCACCGTTTCGTCTAGAAACTTCTGAGAAACTTTTCTTCTCTTGAACAAATCGCTAAAAACACAAACACCGCTTTCGCTTGCTAACTCCGCACAAAATGCCTTCGACATCTGTCCAGTCCAGTCCAGCCCTCCGCCTCCCGCCTCCCGCCTCCCGCCTTCCCCTCTGCCTCCTGCCTTGCCCTCCTGCATCCTGCATCCTGCCCTGCCGTCCTGCCGCCTGCCTCCTGCCTCCTCCTCGAAGAGACCCCGAAGACGAAAGAAGAAGAAGAAGAAGAAGAATGAAAGAAGAAGAAAATGAAGAAGAGAAGAAGAAGAAGAAGCAAGAAGAAAGAAGAAGAAGCAGAAGAAGAATGATTAAGGAAGAAGAATAACGAAGAAGAAGACTAAGACATATACCTAATCATATGCATCCGACTACTTAATCCTAAGACGAATAAGATAATAATGAAGAAACAAATAATAATCCTACTAATACTCCTCATACTCCTCCTCCTAACCTTCCTCCGACTCCTCCTCCCTCCTCTCTCTCCCTCCTCATCTCCTCCTCCTCCTCCTCCTCTCCTCCTTCATCCTTCATCCTCCTCCTCCTCCTCTCCTCCTCCTCACCTCTCCTCTCCTCATCCTCCTCCTCCTCCTCCTCCTCCTCCTCCTCCTCCTCTCCTCCTCCTCCTCCTCCTTCCCCTCCTCCTCTCTCCTTCCTCCTCCTGCTCCTCCTCCTCCTCCTCCTCCTCTCCTCCTCATCCTCCTCCTCCTCCTCCTCCTCCTCCTCCTCCTCCTCCTCCTCCTCCTCACTTCCCTCTCCTCCTCCTCCTCCTCCTCTCCTTCCTCCTCATCCTCCTCCTACTCCTCCTCCTCCTCCTCCTCCTCGTCCTCCTCCTCCTCCTCTCCTCCTCCTCCTCCTTTCCTCCTCCTCCTCCTCCTCCTCCTCCTCCTCCTACTCCCCAATCCTCCTCCTGAGAGCCACGCCTCCGCCTCCGCCTCCGCCTCCGCCTCGACTTGCCCTCCGCCTCCTCCTCCTCCTCCTCCCCTCCACCTCCTCCTCCTCCTCCTCCTCCCCTCCTCCTCCTCCCTACTCCTCTCCTCCCCTCACATCATCATCATCATCATCATCATCATCATCATCATCATCATCATCATCATCATCATCTCATCATCATCTCATCATCATCATCATCATCATCATCATCATCATCATCATCATCATCATCATCATCATCATCATCATCATCATCATCATCATCATCATCATCCCCTCCCTACTCCTCCTTCTGCTCCCCCGCATGCTCTTTCTCACCCTTGTTCCTCCTCCGTCTGCCTCTTTCAAAAAATAGAAGAGAGGAAATATAGGCCACCTCCATCCATGTTTGCCACCTCAGTAACCAGGGGCTGCATCTGGAACCTGAGGCCGCATCTGGAACCAGGGGCAGCATCTGGAACAGGAGATGAACCCAGTCTTCCAAGCAATCAGGCCACGCTTTGAGATCGGGAGGCATCTTGCCGGCCAGCAACGCCCTTCCCACCACCCGTCTCCCATGCTCTGTGGGGCCAGGTGCACAGGTACGTCCTAACTTCTGGAACTGACCTTTGGACGGAACACCTGAGCCTCCGCGGAGCTGGCACCAGAAGACTCCGCGGTGGCCTTCGGAACGATGGGAGGGATGGTCGCTGGACGGCCTGGGCAGGCTTAGATGAGGAAGGCCTTTCTGTCTCCCCCACCTGTCTGAGAAGAAAGAGATCAACGCCAGGGGATTCTGGGCGTCTGATCTACCGAGTGGGTGGTCGAGACAACTAATTCGTCTAACTGAGCTTGTAGCAGGGGGTGTCGACCCCTATCCCAGGCTGTGGGAGGTTTTCGACTGCACCAAGAATTTTGGGCCCAACCCTGGGATAGACGGCGGGGTGACGTCCATCCTCGATGAGGGGTGCGTCCGAATAGCCCTCTTAGGATATATCTCAGGATTCCCCTCCCTTTCTGAGCGCCTTCATTTTTCGTCGAGAAGTCGGGGGATAGGGGAGGAAAGTCGCCTGCGAGCTTGCTCAACCAGGGAGCTGGAAAAGACCGCCGAGAGTGAATCTAAAACTCGCGAGCAGACGCTATCAACATCGAGAACGAGCTTGGCGCCTGGACTCAAGCGGGATCGGGGCAACCTTGGCTCTGTCCTCTGCCGCTTCATCTGCTAGGCGGTCCGCTTGCCGATGAATGGGGTCGACACCTAGCGCCTGGGCCTCCTCCAGGGACAGGTGAGAGCGGATCCCATGCATCGGCCTGTTGTCTACCGCGGTCCGAAAGTTACGCCACATCGAAATCATCTCAGCATGCGTACACCTGGGAGCCCACACGGATGCCTCGGACTACACCATCACCAAGGCCATAACGGCGATGTTGCGAAAAAGTGATGTTGGGAACTGAAGTGTGGGGGATCACAAACCACACGCTCCTACATGTCCTATCTGCGAATGCATCGAACGAGCACGGCACAGCTAAGTGTAGGAAATCGCGAGCCACACATGCCCACACTACCGAAACCTGCATCGCCGTTACCTACATCGCCGGTAGCCCGTCTACGGCATCTCAAACGCTTTCAATGGGTCCCGTGGTGCCCTGTACCGCTCTGGTGACAGCAAGCACCTCAGCTGCTGGGACAGTCTGCAAGTCACAAGAGAGGCGCCCTGGCACCCAAGCGAGGAGCTGGGCACTCCACCTCCTCCTCCTCCTCCTCCTCCTCCTCCTTCTCCTCGTCCTCCTCGTCCTCCTCCTCCTCGTCCTCCTCGTCTTCGTCCTCCTCCTCCTCCTCCTCCTCCTCCTCCTCCTCGTCCGCCGCCGCCTCCTCCTCCTCGTCTTCGCCATCGTCATCGTCATAGCCGTGATCATGAAATCACCATCATCACATGTGTGCTCCTCAGCATCAGCATTTCCAGTATAGTCATACGGATACATATACTCGCACCCGAACTCATACTCATCAGTATTATCAGCATCTCGATCATCCGCATCATCAGCATCATCAGCATCATCATCATCAGCAGCAGCACCATCACCATCATCACCATCATCATCATCATCATCATCATCATCATCATCATCAGCAGCAGCAGCAGCAGCATCAGCATGGGCATCAGCATCATCAGCATCATCAGCAGCATCATGATCAGCAGCATCATCATCGCACCATCATCAGCATCATCATGAGAATGATCAGCATCATCATCATCATCATCATCATCAACCTCATCAGCATCAGCATCACCATCATCAGCATCATCATTGTCATCAGCATCATCGTCATCATCAGCACGATCACCATCACAATCATCAGCACCATCATCATCATCATCATCATCATCATCATCATCATCATCATCATCATCGTCATCATCATCGTCATCAGCATCCACATCAGCATCATCATCCCCATCACAATCGTCAGCATTGTCATCACCATGACCATCAGCATCAGAATCATCAGCATCGTCATCATCAGCATCGTCGTCAGAATCGTCATCGCCAACATCAGTATCACCATCATCATCATGAAGCAGCATCATCAGCGTCGACAGCATCATCATCAGCAGCAGCATCACCATCATCATCATCATCATCATCATCATCATCATCATCATCGTCGTCATCAGCATCATCAACATCATCGGCATCATGAGCATCAGCATAATCATCATCGGCATCATGAGCATCAGCATAGTCATCATCAGCATCAGCATCATCAGCAGCATCACCATCAGCAGCAGCATCATCACCACCATCATCATTATAGTCCTCGTCGTCATCGTCATCGCAATCGTCATCGTCATCGGCATCGTCATCAGCATCATCACCAGCATCGCGCCATCATCAGCATCATCAGCATCAGCATCATCCTAGGCCTCATCGTCAGCATCATCCTCATCACAATCGTCATCATCATCACCATCAGTATCAGCATCATCATCATCATCAGCATCGTCATCATTTTCGTCAGCATCATCACCATCAGTGTCACCAGCATCATCATCAGCATCATCATCATCGTCGCCATCATCATCAGCATCATCATCATCAGTATCATCATCACCACCATCATCATCCGAATCAGCATCAGCATCAGCATCAGCATCAGCATCAGCATCAGCAGCAGCAGCAGCAGCAGCAGCATCATCATCATCATCATCATCATCATCATCATCATCATCATCATCATCATCATCATCATCATCATCATCATCACTGACTCGGGCACAGATGGGCTCATGTGCCAGAGAGCGTAAGGAGCGGCTCGAAAAACCGAGAGAGCGTGATCCACCACCGCTTTACTGTGGAAAATTCTCACCCCTCTTCCTCCGGAACCCGGGAGTCCCCCCCCCCCTCCGAAATCCCCCCTGCTGGACCCCCCCCTTCCCCGGCAAAACCCCCCCCTCCCCTAACCCCCCTCCTCCCTCCAGAAAACCGTTCGAGACCCCCCACCCCCCTCCAGAAAACCGGGGGGGTCACTACCGGTTCGAACCCCCCTCCCCCCTCGAAAACCGGGGGGTCACTACCGGTTCGAACCCGCCCCCCTCCTCCTTGAAAACCAGGGGGGGTCACTACCGGTTCGAACCCCTTCCCCCTACCGCCAGCCGCACCACATCCCCCACTGCTGTTCCCAGCACCACTGTCCTCACCACCACTGTCCCCGCTGGTTCCACCACCGTCCCTACTATCCCCACCAGTGCCCTCACCACTGTCGCACTGTCCCAACTGTCCCCACCACTGTTCCCACCACGGTTCCACTCTCCCCACTTTCTCCACGACCCCAACCACTGCCCGACTATCCCCACTGTCCCCACTATCCCACTGTCTCCTCCGCTGTCCCACTGAGCTGTCCCACTGTACCCACCACTGTCCCCACTGTCCCCACCACTGTCCCCACTGTACCTCTGTCCCATTGTCCCACCGCCGTCCTGGCCACCGCCCTCACCACTGTCCCCACCACCACTGTACCCTCCACTGTCCCACTGTTTCCAACACATTCCCACTGTCCCCACACCACTGTCCCCACCACCACCGTCCCCACCGCTGTCCCACTGTTCCCACTGATCCCACCATTGTCCCCGCTGTCCCCACCAGTGCCCCCACCAGTGTGTCAATGTCCCCACTCTCCCCACCGTTGTCCCACCACGGTCCCACTCTCCCCACTTTCCCCACGGTCCACACCACTGTCCCACTGTCCCCACCACTGTACCCACTACCGTCCCACTGTCCCCGCCGGTGCCCCCACCACTGTCGCACTGTCCCCACTGCCCCCACCACTGTTCCCACCACGGTTCCACTCTCCCCACTTTTCTCCACGACCCCAACCACTGCCCGACTATCCCCACTGTCCCCACTATCCCACTGTCTCCTCCGCTGTCCCACTGAGCTGTCCCACTGCTCCCACCACTGCCCCCACTGTCCCCACCACTGTCCCCACTGTACCTCTGTCCCATTGTCCCACCGCCGTCATGGCCACCGCCCTCACCACTGTCCCCACCACCACTGTACCCTCAACTGTCCCACTGTTTCCACCACGTTCCAACTGTCCCCACACCACTGTCCCCACCACCACCGTCCCCACCACTGTCACACTGTCCCTACTGTTCCCACCATTGTCCCCGCTGTCCCCACCAGTGCCCCCACCAGTGTGTCAATGTCCCCACTCTCCCCACCATTGTCCCACCACGGTCCCAGTCTCCCCACTTTCCCCACGGTCCCCACCACTGTCCCACTGTCCCCACTGTACCCACTACTGTCCCACTGTCCCCGCCGCTGTGCCACTGTGCTGTCCCAGCGTCCCCACTGTCCCCATCACTGTCCCACTGTCCCCACTGTCCCCACTGTCCCCACCACTTTCCCCACCGTGCGACTGTCCCACCACTGTCCTCACCACTGCCTTCACTACTGTCCCCACCACTACCGTCCCCACCACTGTCCCACTGTCCCCACCACACTGTCCCGCTGTCCCCTCACCACTGTCCCCACCACCACTGTCCCCACCACTGTCCCACTGTCCCCACCACTGTCCCGCTGTCCCCTCACCACTGTCCCCACCACCACCGTCCCCACAACTGTCCGCACCCCCCCCCTGTTTTTTTTGGGGGGGGGAGAGGTTCGAACCCGTAGTGACCCCTGCTGGTTTTCGAGGTGGGGGGGTTCGAACCACCGGTAGTGACCCCCCCCCTTTTCATGATGGACTGGAGGGGGGGTTCGAACCAGTAGTGACCCCCCCCCGGTTTTCCGGAAGGGGGGGGGGTCGAACCGGTTGTGACCCCCCCCGGCTTTTCGCCAGCAGCGGTAGAACACGCTCTTTCGAAAAACCTGAGCCCGTCTCGAACCCGAACGTGGCCCTTGTCTCAGTGTCTTGACGGCGGAGGAGGGCGGTGACGGCGACGGCGACGGCGGCGGCGACGACGACGACGGCGACGACGGCGTACTACGACGAACGACGACGACGGCGTACTACGACGGACGACGACGACGACGACGACGACGACGACGACGACGACGACGACGACGACGACGACGACGACGGCGACGGAGGGGGGGAGGGGACGGAGACCGCGACGACGAAGCGAGCGGGGAGGAAGGCACGGCGGCACGCACACGCGCGCCGTGAAAACCGGGGCAGACCCCCCCCGCCCCCCGCGGGCCGCGAAGAGCTTCAGCAGCTTCTCGTACTTCTGGTTCATCTCGGGGGCGGGGGTTAGCCACGCGCAGAGGGGGGTGGGTGGAGGGGGAGGGCTTCTTAGCAGCACCCCTGCTTCTAAGAAGGCGCGGGCCTTATCTATCGATGTAAGGCCGGCGCCTTCTAAGAAGCAGCCTGCTTCTAAGAAGCCCTCCCCCCTCCCCCCACCCCCTTGTGCGCGCCGCCAAGGGGGGCTGCCGCAGGCCGTGGTCACTGGCTCGGCGGCGCTCGGGGCGCCCAGGCAGAGAGCCCAATCTCTGCCTGCCGTGCCGTGGCTCGATTCGGGGTGGGCGTCGAAACGCATCATCTTCTGGCTCGACGTCGTCAAGTCGATTCCAGTCCCGGGGGCAGGCGCGAGCGTGAAGGTGGGGGGGGGCGACGTGCTGGGCGTCGGGGTGGGCGTCGAAACGCATCGTCTTCTGGTTTGGCATCGTCGAGTTGATTCCAGTCCCGGGGGCAGGCGCGAGCGTGGAGGTGGGGGGGGGCGACGTGCTGGGCGAGCTGCCTCGGACCCGCTTCGTCTCGGGCCAGCGCTTCGTCGTCGTCGTCTGTCTCGCATGTTCGTGCATCGTCGTCCGTCGTCTCCGTCGTCCATCGTCCGTCGTCCTCGTCGTCGTCGCCGTCGTCGCCATCGTCGCCGTCGTCGTCGCCGTCGTCGTCGAGGAAGGGGGGAGGGTAGGGATGAGGACCAGGGTAGACTCGGCATACATCAGCGATGCTGCACGACGCCCCCCCCGTCGCAGGTCCAATCATCACGAGTCCAGGCAAGGTGTCATCTTCACCACTGGAAGCGTCCCCGCCTTTGCAGGCGAAACTCCCTGGAGCCTGCTATTCTGGGGAGAGCCCCGATCTGAAAAAGAACACCGTCCCACCCACGTAGCTAGAAGAATACCTAGGTGCGTGACCACAAACAGCACGGAATTGCTAAGCTAGAGCGGCAACTTGACAATGACCCGCCAGTCATGTGAACCTATTACGCAGATAGTAAGTTTCAAACCATGCTGTATTCAGAAGTCTGCCAAAGTGGACATCCGACTCTAAATAATAACCGTTCTCGACACGGTTGCTTAAAGCTTGTATGGATCGTGCCATAAGCTGCATGTGCACATCAAGCGAGAAGTCAGATGTGAAAAGAAGACGGCCCCAAAGACGTAGGCTCACAACAACGCGCACAAAACGAGTGTGCGTGGCGCCGAGGGCGAGAATCGCTGAGGGCGAGGCCGTGTAACCGCCGCAAGCTTTTGACACGAAGGTGCGCGGCTCCAGGGCGAGAGGCCACACCCTCGAACAGGCCTGCCCCCCAGCAGCTAAACTGCTGCGCAGGAGGAGGAGGAGGAGGAGGAGGAGGAGGAGGAGGAGGAGGAGGAGGAGGAGGAGGAGGAGGAGAGGAGGAGAGGAGGAGGAGGGAGGAGGAGGAGGAGGGAGGGAGGAGGAGGAGGAGGAGGAGGAGGGGGAGGAGGAGAGGAGGGAGGAGGAGGAGGGAGGAGGGGGGAGGAGGAGGATGAGGAGGGGGAGGAGGAGAAGGAGGAGGAGGAGGAGGAGGAGCTGCGCGCGGCACCAAAAGCAAGAGCCACGCGGTGGCATCGGGCGATCCCCTGCCCGTGGACGTGCTGCCCCTGCTCGGGGCGCACGCGCGTGGGCGCAAAAGGTAGGGCGAGGAGCGCTCCAGTTTGACGGCGCCTGCCCTCCCTCCGTGCAGCTGGGGGAGCTTTCGAGGCCAGGGCCAGCAGCATAGGGGAAGTCGCGGGCGAATCGCACGGGCCCGTGCGATGCGCCTGGCGGGGCGACGCGGCGCTGCTCACAATGAGAGGGGGCGGGGAGGGAGATGCCAATGGAACAGACGGGGGGGGGTGGGGCTAAGGGGAGTTGAGGGGCTGGCCATCGCTTGGACGTCCATTCCCTGTGTTTTGTTCGGTGTCGTGCGTGTTTTTTTCGCGAAATGATCAAGGATGCTCCTCGATGGTCCTCGCCGAAGGCAAAATGCACACGTCCGAGCGATGCCAAGAGGGAGGGAAGGGAGAGCGGACGAGCAACGGAGGCCGCGATAGAGAGATGGGGACGGAGGGGCGGAAGGATACCAGTGGGCCCCGCCCCCAGCATCGCGGGCCAGCTCACGGCGGACGCGCGCCCAGAGTTTCAGCACCACGGGACTCCGTTGTTCTCTGCTCGGCCGTCGCCTCCTCCTTCGCCTCCCCCCACTCCTACTCCTGCGTCCCCCCGTTCTCCTTCCCGTCGTCATTCCACCCCTCCCTCCTCCTCCTCATCCTCCGCCTACTCCTCCTCCTCCTCCTCCTCCTCCTCTCTCCTCCTCCCCTCCTCCTCCTCCTCCTCCTCCTCCTCCTCTCCTCCTCTTCCTCCTCCTCCTCCCCCTCCTCCTCCTCTCCTCCTCCTCCTCCTCCTCCTCCTCCTCCTCCCTGTCTCCTCCTCCGTCTCCTCCTCCCCTCCACATTCTCCTCCTCCTCCTCATCTTCCTCCTCCTCCGCCTCGTCCTCCTCCTCCTCCTCCTCCTCATCATCATCATCCTCCTCCTCCGCTTCCTGTCCTCTGGGGAACGCCCCAGGCAGGCCCTGGCTGAGCGCAACGCGCCCACATACATATCACCAGCAGGGGCACAAGAGTCTCGTCTAACGGCAGGGACTCGCCTCCGATGCGCGTATCCTCCTCCTCCTCCTCCTCCTCTCCTCCCCCTCCCCCTCCTCCTCTTCCCCCTCCTCCTCCTCCACTTCCTCCTCCTCCTCCCCCTCATCCTCCTCCTCGTCCTCCTCCTCCTACTCGTCCACCCCCATCATCAGCAATAGTATCCTCATCATCGTCATCATCAACAGCCGCATCAGCATCAGCATCCTCATCAGCAGCAGCATCAACATCAGCACCAGCACCAGCATCAGTATCACCAGCATCATCATCATCATCATCATCATCATCATCATCATCATCATCATCATCATCATCATCATCATCATCATCATCATCATCATCATCATCATCCGAATCATCATCATCATCATCATCATCATCATCATCATCATCATCATCATCATCAGCATCCTCATCCTCATCATCATCATCATCAGCATCATCATCATCATCATCATCACATCATCACATCATCCTCAGCATCAGCTCATCATCATCATCATCATCATCATCATCATCATCATCATCATCATCATCATCATCATCATCATCATCGGGATCATCATCAGCAGCATCATCAGCATCAGCAGCAGCATCAGCATCAGCATCAGCATCATCATCATCAGCAGCAGCATCAGTATCATGATCATCAGCAGCATCAGCATCACCATCGTCATCATCATCACCATCATCATCATCCTCACCATCATCATCTGTAGCATCATCATCATCACCGCCATCATCATCATCATCATCAGCATCATCATCATCATCATCACCACCAGTATCACCATCATCATCACAATCAGTATGATCAGCATCATCATCATCATCATCATCATCATCATCATCATCATCATCAACACTATCATCAGCATCATCATCACCGGCAACATCAGTATCAGCATCAGCATCGTCACCACCATCACCGTCGATATCATAAGCAGCATGGTCATGACCATGATCATCAGCATGTCCGTCATCAGGATCATCATCAGCCGCAGCAGAAGCAGCATCATCATCATCACCATCACCATCGTGCGGATCAGTAGCATCATCAGCATCATCGTCAGCATTAGCATCGTCATCGTCGCCATCATCCCCAGCATCAGCATAATCACCACCAGTACCATCATCAGCATCATCATCGTCATCATGCTCAGAACCTCTGTCAGCAGAATAATCATCATCATCATCATCATCATCATCGTCATCATCATCATCAGCATCATCATCATCATCATCATCCTCATCAGCATCAGCATCAGCATAATCAGAATCATCACCATAACCAGTAACAGCATCAGCATCATCATCATCAGCAACATCATCATCATCATCATCACCACCATCACCATCACCACCACCATCCGCAGCAGCAGCAGCGTCCGCGTCAACACGACTACGAGCAGCAGTGTCATCATCATCAGCATCATCATCATCGCCATCATCATCATCATCATCATCATCATCATCATCATCATCATCATCATCATCATCATCGTCACCATCATCAGTATCGTCATCATCATCATCACCACCATCATCATCATCATCATCATCATCAGCATCATCATCATCATCAGTATCATCATCAACGGCAGCGTGCTCGTCATCAGCAACATCGGTATTGTCATCATCATCATCCGCATCATCATGATCATCATAATCATCATCATCATCATCAGCATCATCATCATCATCGTCATCATCATCATCATCATCATCATCATCATCATCATCATCATCGTCGTCGTCGTCATCATCATCATCATCATCGTCGTCGTCAGCATGAGCATCATCATCAACAGCAGCAACATCACCATCAGCATCATCATCATCATCGTCATCGTCATCGTCATCATTATCATCATCAACATCAGCATGCCCGTTATGAGCTTCATCATCCGCATCATCATCATGCGCAGCAGCAGCAGAGTCAGCGTCAACAGGACTACGAGCAGCAGTGTCATCATCATCATCATCATCATCATCATCCTCATCATCATCAGAATCAGCATCATCATCAGCAGCATCATAATCATCAGCATGATCATGACCATGATCATCATCATCATCATCATCATCGTCATCATGAATATCCACAGTAGCATCATCAACAGCAGCATCGTCGTCGGCATCATCATCATCGTCATCATCATCGTCATCGTCATCGTCATCGTCACCGTAATCATCATCATCATCAGCATCATCATCATCATCAGCATCATCATCATCATCATGATCACCATCATGAGCATCACCATCATAATCCTCATCATCCTCAGAATCATCTGTATTATGTTCCTTTTTGAGCATCATCACCGTCAGCATCAGCCATTACCATTATCAATATCACAACTGCCA